AGACTCCCGCCCTCCCAAACGCCCCATCGGGGCTCTTCCCCACCTCTGGCAATCCCGTCAAGAGGAAGGGGCATGGGAGATGCGCTTCCCATACCTCATTGTTGATGTGATGGATGCGCTGCTCGAGATCTTCCGACTCGGGCCCTGCCACGCCGTGGGCTGCCATCCTGGGATCCCACGGAAGAGCGCAGAGGGAGAGGGAGGCCCTTGGACAGAAAGTGCCAGCGTCTCCTGCAAAAAACCAGGAGAGATGATTGCACCTGAAGGCAGAAATATCCTCCGGGTAGGTCGGAAGCCCGCCCCTGGAGTGCTCTGCCCCCTAAAAGGGAGCCCGCCACTGGCAGGCATCCTTCCAGGTGAGAGGAAATTCTCCAGGCCCCTCTCAGGTGGCCAAAACTCACCTGCCAGGCTTTCCCCTCCCCTGGGGTTGCAGGGGCTAAGAAGGGAAGGCCTCTGCTGAAGGTAGGATCGGTTTGCAGTGGAGAACTTGCAGTTGGGAAAAACAAGCAGAATGGCATTCCTGGATTCTTCCCGGCTTTTTAAATACTTTCTGTTTAGGACAATCCCGTGTTGATCAGATGCAGGTGAGTTCTGAAACTCTGTTCCCCTCCCCACAACTTCTGCAGGTTCTTTCCAGATGCAAAGGCTTTTTTGGGGGGGGGGTTGCCCTTATATATTCAAACATGACATCATAGCCATGAGGGCTAGAAACTGACTTAAAGAAACAAACACAAAATCCCATGCTCCTTGAGTTTCTGTACCAAATACTAGAAATTGGGGGTGTTTATTTATTTGTTTGTTACATTGATACAGCTGCCCCTCTTAAGGATGCAGGCAGCGCCCACAATTAAAATAGCAAAACCAAACAATCGAAGCAATTAAAAAGAAAACCATTAAAATACAATTAAAACAGTTAAAACTATAAGAAAACAAAAATACAGAACTGCAACATTCGTACCACTGAGTTTATACCCGTGCATAGTTATATGCACCACCAGTTCACTTTCACTGCCTGCTCCCAGTTCTTTGCATGGAAAATCTAATGTGACAAGAAGTGATGCAGCTTTCAGGTGTGACGGGACTCTGGGTCCATGTTCCACCTCCACTCCCAGCTCGGTTGCTGTTGTCATATTGCTGCTGTTCCCCCCAAGAGGAATCCAAACAGGGTGGGCAGCAGACCCCGCCATAGTCAGCCCCCTCCTCGCCATCCTCCCGTACGATGATCTGATTCTCCTGCAGCGGATCCAAAGCGTGTAATTATCGTGTGGGAAAAGTGCAGCTGTTGCGAGTCGGGAGCCAGAAACTGATGCCGCGGCCCCCCCCCCGCCCAGGTCTTTCCCACCTTCTGCTGTCTTCCTTCACCGGGAGCTTTGGAGAAGCCTTTGTGTGTGGGTCTTCCGCAAAGGGGAGGGGGCAAAGGGGAGGAGGAGGAGGCACATGAGCCGAGCCCTCTGAGAGCCAAAGATAGCACCGAGGGGAAGGAAGGAAGGAAGGAAGGAAGGAAGGAAGGAAGGGTCCTCTGGATAA